CAAAGCTCCATGCCTCCTCTGCCTACCATCGCCATCTCCCAATGATCGATCAATGCTGGTTTCAAGCCGGTATTATTGCTTTTTCCTCTTCTTTCTCTTCCCACTCCCTCTCGTGGTCATCGCTGTTTGTTGGCTCTCGACATGTACGACGTTTCTTTTTTCTGTTTAGCCACCTCCGCTGCCCGAGGCCCTGCCTGGATCCAAACTTGGATGCTCGGAGCGCGTGGGAGAGACGCCCTTTCCCCGATTTTCCCCCCTTGGGTTAAGGCAGATTCAGCCGTCATCTTGCATGGCTTGCGGTCCCAGCTAGCAGGCCGTGTCTTGTCAGCTAACGACCCTAACGACGCTACAGAGCACTAAAGAGGCATATAGAGGTCTCCTGCAATCTCTCTCCTCTCGACTCTCTGGTAAACGGCTCGAGCATAATTTATCTCCTGCCAGGGGCAAAGCTTCAGCTTTCTTTTTTCTTTTTTTTTTTTTTTTTTTTTTTTGGCTCCTCCCTTGGCTCCGTGTGGGGATACCCCGGTTGTCCAAGACGAACTCCAATTCAGTCAAAACAGCTCCATGAGATAGTTTCACAACCCCTCTAACACCTTACTCCTCCATTTCTGTGACGTCTTTACGTGGACGGTGTTTAAGAGAGCGATCTTATCTACCGGGATGAGGCGTGGTCAATCAGGGCGAGTCAGAGAAACCCACAGCATCGTGGGGAAGCGCACAGAGTACAGCAGAGTACGAGGTCATCACGGTTCTCTGCAAGGGGGTGCCATCGTTAGTTTCGCCGACTTGGCTTTCAACGCTGCCAGGGGTCTGTCATGCACGTCAATCCTTCTCCGTCCTCTGGCTGGCTAGCCTGGCGCGGGATTATCTGTGAACGAACAGGCCAGCTGCATAAATTAAGACTCGAACAAGTATAAGCTCCGTCGCATGAGACCCTGGCCTATATATACTATTCCTGTTAACATACGGAGTAAGTAGTTATATGCATATACATCTTGCCGTCTCTTGGCCATCAGTTTATGGATATCTTGACTGTAGGTCAACGGACGTATACTTACGGAGTACCCGTTCATATAAGGTCCTAACCGACATGGTATAATTCTCGAGCCGGCAGAGAGTATTTTCGTCCTTTTTCCGAGGAAGACAGCGTTGGCTAAGAAGTTTGCTCTAACTAAGGGCGTAGCTGACGGGAGAGTCCTCCGGTTTTTATCCTTCTCACTCCTACGCATATAAGACCAGTTTAAGGAATTTCCACTCTGGTTGTAAATGATATATCCGCCTACGACATAAGGCTGGAAAATCCTACAGTTAGCGGCTCCAGCGGTAGTGATAACACAGGTAAGATATCTCTTAGAGGAAAGGGCCAAGCCCTTTCTGCTTCTTCTGGCGACATCTCTTCACTCATAGCCTTCATAGCTGTACGTCTTATTCCTTGCCTCCCACTTTTCAATCGAGACCCAGCCGTCGTTGTCGGGACGAAGTGGGCCTTTGATGATATCCAGCAAGTACCTCGTACTTGCTCCTTGTGTCTGTTCAAGTCCTCTTGACTGGACTTGAACGGTCACCTACCGGAAAATCCAATTGCGCCGCGGACAGACGCGTTATACCCAAGACAATACAGTCCACAGTACTTCGATTGAATAGCTAGAGTGTGCTCTTCTTTAGGTCTGTTTTCTTCACTAGGATCTGAGTCGTCGAAGCTCGTCGGTAAATTTCAAAGGGTCAGAATACTCGTCGAGAGACTGGGAATCGTCGAGTCGGTTAAGGTGGCCTTGAACTCTGTATCTATCCGTAGTAATTAGCGCCCAATTCTTTATGTGGTATGGATAGGGCAAATTCCGGACTTGTATCCCCTTAACGACATCAGATAATAGAACATTTCCCGCACGAGAATCATGGAATTCACAAGAGTGGATCAAATACTCCTAAGAGTTTATCACGACGCAGAGGCCGGATCTTCGATGGCCCAATACAAGCCATCCGGATCCAAATCCGACGTAAGTTGATGAGAATGGTATCCAGATGGCAGGAAATCTCGCAGGAATAGACTGCCGTATGTGGTTACTTTAAAGTTCCTAAATTCTCTTTTCCATTTCTACAATTCTGTCAACTATCTTGTAGCGTTGTAAGCACTTATTTGCAAGAGGATCTCCACAGATCTTCCCACCATGGTATATTCCACCCCCATAGGGTCTGATGAGTCCGAGCTTCAAGCATATACTGCCGGTACTCGAACGGACTTATGAAATCGCACTACGCTCAATAATATTGAGAGCCTCAACACTGTTGGTGGCAGTGGAAGCTTACAAAACTTTAATGTAGCTAACTTCGGAAGCTGTTGCGAACAATGGAGCTCCAGCGGAATTTCCCTCAATCTTAACAACCTTCTCTCATTCTTTTTGGACCCGAGGATATTAGCAGCACGGGAGCAAAGTATTTGGAGGTGAAATTTCACAAGACGCTCTTCAAACTGACACCTCTCATCGATCAACCACCGACCAGAGGCATACACGAAGAGTCCACTAGGGTCTTCAATTCTCAGGTCTACCAGTCCGTGACAAAATTAAAAGAATCAAGTAGTCACTATACAAACTGGCACTTCCAGAGTTCGTGAAGCCCCAGGAACCACTGATCAATCTGTTGTTAATGGGAAGACGAGATAATAAACGAAAACTCGGTAACTTTCATTTTATTTAAGTATTAAATGCAGATCAAGCAAGCCCTGAGAACGTGCTGCCTGCCCTGACACTACTAATTGAAGTTGGCAATCTGTATAAAGTTAGAGTGAGCAATTTTTGAGGCTCAAAAATAGTGGATGGAGTACCAGATGTAACTAAGTATCCTAGTAAACACAAGCTAACAGGAACAATTAAGGAAGAAAGTAAAGGAGACATTTTGACCTGCTCGCCGACACCAATCCGAAAGTTTCTGACGCCAAAGATATCGGAGCGGATAGTGAGTTGTCAAGTTATCCATTTTATGTTCTATATCATTATAGATCATCATCCCTAGATAAGATTGATAAGATCTTCTTGTTGCACATGGTCTAGTAAGGTTTGAAAGTTTATTACATAACAGTTATCAGGCGACTGTATTAGGTAATATCAGTTAGTTACGCTAGTGCTTTAATAATTGAAACTCTAAAAGTTCCACTCTCCATGGATGCGGGAGACTCCGTAGAAATAAAAGCGTTCCGGAAACCTCCCCCCCTTTATTTCGGTCTGCGATATTCCTCAGGAACAGACGAAGAAAAGGGCCATAAGGGAGAGACGACGTTTGTATTCTATCTAAATTTGTCTCAGAGCAATACTCGGTACAATTCACAATGGCATCTCAGGATACACCAATGTCGGCTGCGCATCTGCCACTAGAAGCAGCCAGCATTGCTAGTAGCTCGCCGACCCAACAGATCGCTGTCTTGGATATTCTTTTTGAACCATCCCAGAATCTTCATGACCTAGCTCTTCCCCTGCTCCAGACACCCTTTAATTCATATAGGGAGCTTATCAATCGCGTACGGGCTGAACTCCACCAACTAGCCGAGAGAGCAGCCACGAACGAGACCGACAAGAAAATCCTGTATGATATCCTAGGCTCCCATCCCCGCCTTGGTGCCCCAAAAAGCTCCCATTTGAGCGAATTTAGCAGACGGGAACAAGCAAAACTTGCTACCGCTACCGCTGCTGCTACTTCCCCAGGACAAGGGGCCGAAGATGAAGCTGATCGGTTAAGGAAATTGAACGAGGAATATGAAAGGACCTTTCCAGGTTTACGATATGTGTGAGCATGTCTTATATCAATCATACACTTTCATCTCTCTCATATATGCATGCATGTGAGCGTTAATTTTAATTTTGTTGTGCAGAGTGTTTGTCTGTGGACGAGGGAGGGATGTTATCATGGAAGACATGCGTCGTCGCATTGATGCCGCCGATGTCTCGTCTGAAATTGATACTACTATCATGGTGAGTTCATTCTCACGTCCCGGATTCCGTTGATCTTCAATTTCCTTCCTATTTTCGAGCAAAGTAACATAACGTCTACCGTCGTTCTAGGCTATGTGTGATATTGCCAATGATAGAGCTTCTAAGTCAGGGGTACACTGACGGCAAGCTTAAAGTTGGATTGTGCTACAGGCAGTAGGCACTGCTAAATAAGGACATACCAGCCCTTCATATAAATAAACGATAACACTCCCTCTACCCTTCCCTTCCATCCTCTTTTTTTCGTCTCTACCACTTCGAGTTGGATTCTCAAGATTCGAAATATGGGCAATGTCATCGATCGCGTGGAAATCTATACTAAATTTAGAAACATACACTTGATTCAGCAAATATTACAAGCATGTCTTTAATGCCAGCAGGAACCAATAAGAGCGCTAGATCTTAAAGTTCTGTATGTATTGGAATTGTATCAGAATTACTGGATTAATATTCTTCCACAGTTATCTAATCTGATTAGATTGCCGGCCCGAATGTTACTCCGACGGCGGGTATTTCCCTTCTTGGAAAGAGGTATTTACTTTTTGCCCGGATTATTGAATACCTAGGTATTCTTTTCAAGGATGCCGGACGAACTCGCGAAATATCTCCCATTCTTCACAGTTTCCCTAACCCTCTGTATACAATGAGCGGGTGATGGTCGAAGGCCCGGTATGGATCACATGAATTTCTTCTTCTTTGTGACGTGGTCTTGTCTTCTTGAGCGCTGTTGAATAATGGCGGATACTTCGGACCCTGCGGGCTCCCAGCGCCGTGAGACAGACGCTCAGCGACGAGGTTCAGGGAGTTTAGACGGGGCGACTATCGTGAATCAACCACGACTAGTAGCTGCGGATGCAAGTAAGTGGTCCACGCCCTGTTGATAGATAATTATTAGTTCATCCTCCCTCTGTCCGATCTGCACAAGCCTGAAAGCCTTGGGGCCGATCCACGCTGAGCCGCTACATACTCCGTATACATACCTCAATGTCTATCCAACATATGGGATATGTTAACCAATTTTTGCATCTGTACTATTAGGCTCGACGAATGATGGCTCCCTCTACGCGAACAGCCACCAGAATTCTAATCCTGAGGTGCCAAATGACGCCAGCCCTTGGCCGCAGCCAAACGCAACGACGGGCCAAAGCCTGAGAAGTCAGATATCGCATATTTCAGCCTCGGGGCGTCAGAAGCAATCGCCGGGCCCTTCGGCGTCACTCTCGCGACATGATACACAGGACCAATCGCCTATCGACCCTTTATCCCAGGTACGTCATCGTTTTTATACCAGCCAGGGTTTACAGGGATATATAGTATTTCAAGTTATCTGAGCCCTGTTTACTTGCTGTTGAGTACTTCAACTACCCGGGCCGAAATTTTCACTACTTTTATGCGTTATTCCAATAACTAATGAGTGTCGTTTCTACTCCCCAGCATATACTGAAACGAACAAATACGGAAAGATCATTCTCTTCAAAGGCCCGGCCGAGACTTTCTTTTGAAACAGAGCCATTGGCTTCAGAGAGTCATCTACCACCTCTATCCGAAGATGGGCCGTCCATCAATAGACTTGAAGCTGGCCCTGCGCAGGCACCGGCTAAAGACAAGAAGTAAGCTGGACTATCTATTCGTCGAAGATATATCAGCTACGGACTGACACTTATTAGGAAGGGAGTTTCTTTCTTAAGTCGGATAATTGGAGGGAAGAAGAAAGGGCAGGTTTCGGAGGAAAACGATGATGTATCAGAGCTTGGTGAACCACGGACTACAGGCTTAGATAGCGAGCTCTTTGCACACCCAGTAGGGTATATACCGCGGTATCCGCCTCCGCCAAACTATATCAAAGTCCGGGCGAAGCACACCAAATCAAGGGCATTTGACAGATTGTTTCTCGCTCAAGACCTTAAGGGAAGCCCGGCAGAGGCCGAGCTGGATTCAGCCGAATTCGAAGCGAGCGCAAAGGGTAACAAGGCAGTGTGGGCCGCCGAATTTTCTAAAAACGGGAAATACCTTGCTGTTGCAGGGCAAGACAAGCGGGTTCGAGTATGGGCTATTATTTCAATGGCCGAGGATAGGCATGCGCACGAAACTGAGGAAGAAGCACGAAATGGCCAAACAGCTGTGAGGTTAAGTGCTCCAGTATTTAAAACGCACCCCATTCGACTATATGAAGGTCATACTGCGAGTATTGTTGATTTAAGCTGGAGTAAGGTATGCTTCCGTCAATGACCTCACGAGTTGACTGTACGTTTGCTAATGCACACAATACAGAATGATTTCCTGCTTACTACTTCTATGGACAAAACTGTGCGCCTCTGGCATGTTACGCGGGATGAATGTCTATGTTGTTTCAAACACGGAGATTTCGTCACATCTATCGAATTTCACCCCCGTGATGATCGCTTTTTCCTGGCTGGCTCTTTGGACTGCAAGCTACGGTTATGGAGCATCCCCGACAAGGCCATTGCGTATAGCGTGACCATCCCTGATATGATTACAGCAGTAGCCTTCACTCCAGACGGGAAATTCTCGTTAGCGGGGTCCCTCAATGGGCTTTGTACAATCTATGAGACTGATGGATTGAAGCCGTTATCACAACTCCACGTTCGGTCTGCTCGTGGAAAAAATGCCAAAGGGAGCAAGATCACGGGTATAGATACAATTGTCCAACCGCCCACTAACGAACATGGTTCTGTGAAACTCCTTATTACTAGTAATGACTCTCGAATACGCCTTTATGACTTCAAAGACAAGACGTTGGAAGCCAAATTGCGTGGAAACGAGAATGCGTCCAGCCAGATTCGTGCGAGCTTTAGCAGTGACGGGAAGTATGCCATCTGTGGAAGCGAGGATGGTCGAGTTTACATTTGGCCCCTGGATTCAACTGAGAAATACCCCGACAAAAGGCCGATTGAATTTTTCGACGCTCATAACTCAACCGTGACTATTGCTGTCATGGCACCTACCGTTAGCAAAATGCTACTGGGATCTACCGGTGACTTACTATATGACCTATGTAACCCCCCTCCGGTTACCTTGGTCAGCGCTACGGCGTCAGTTATCTCGAGGGATCAGACACGCAACGATGAGGAACCTGTACCACCGCGGACACCGCAATCCCTTCAACCGCCCAGCCAGCAGAAGGCGGAGGAATCCCCGGCATACGTTGCACGGTCTGCACATCCTGGTGGCAACATCATTGTGACTGCTGATTATCTTGGAAAGATCAAGATTTTCCGGCAAGATTGTGGCTATCACAAACGTCGACATGAACTCTGGGAGACGAATTCGACTTTCTCTAGGAAACTTTTAGGTCGCACAAACTCAGTATCTACACGGCACAGTGTAGCGTCTTCAATTGGAAGGGAATCGAAAACCCCTTCGGAGAGAATCTTATCGTGGCGTAACTCTGTGATTGGCGGCCCTGACAATCGCAGCGTTGATAACCTCCGCGGAACGCCTGAACCTGCCGGACGCAGCGGTTCTCCTTCCAAACCACGTAAGGACAGCCCCTTCGTGGACACAAATAAGCCCGCCACTCCCAACTCAACAAGTTCGCAACGGTTTGGTGCTACAACCTTCTTCCACCATAATAACCAGCCCACACCGCCCCCTAGGTTCCTCAGCACCGTTAACTCCGAAGAATCCACCCCATTTGGGCCCAATGATGAAACGCCTCGGCCGTTTGGGCATAACTCAGACAAGGAGGACCCAAGCTATATATCATGGAATAAGGCGCAAGCCGACACACAGCATGACCCTGCACAGGACGCGTATGGCGGTAAGAGTGCACTGGCTAGTAACGGCGCCACAGGCCATGATAATGTCGAGTATGAAGAAGAATTGGAATGCTCTCAGTGCCAGGGCACAAATTTTAGAGCCACCCGCCTTAAAAATGGGGAACAGAGGTTGATATGCACACGATGTGGTTGTGCTGCCTTATAAGGGCCTCCCCTAGCTTGGGTATACGTGTTTACTGTACAGCTTCACTGGCCCACTTACTTTTCGTTGGATATAGCTTCTACCTGGCTTTGCTTCTCTCTTTTGGGCTCTTGTTAAGAATTGGTTTGGCGATTAAGTGTATAAGATCGGTTACCTAAATGGTGACACGTATATATGAATGGCTATACGTCTTATCCCTGCTCTGTAGAGCAGACTTGTGCATGTACCTTGGTTGCTTTGCGTTACAAAAAAAAAAAATAAAAATTGAAGAAGCTCCTAATCCTCATAGACCAAAGCAATGGCTGTGCATTCTTTTATAGGGTTGAGTTAGACGTTTGAGTAACTAATTGGCAGTTGCTGTGTTTGCTCTGTTTGCTTTCGACTCACAAGCCACAGAAAAAAGTCACGACGTCACAACGATAAATGATAAAACGATAAACCAAAATATCAAATCTATCACCCACCGCGAACGCAATTTCCAAGCAAATATACCAGATAACTGCTGCCATTACCTCCGAAGAAGCTATATAAATTTGAACACCTGGCCTTTACGCCCTAATACCCAGGATCGAAGACATGGTTTACCTAGCGACTTCACAAGACTATCTTAAACAGTCGTCTCTATTACTCGAAGCGTATCCAGACACAGTACGTTGCACCACCTTGTTTATACGTTGTCTGCCTCTTTGTACCTTTCCATGGAAATTATTAAACTGGAATTCTTGCCGTATTAAAAGCAAACAGCACATTGATCAATCCAATTGCACTGCTAACCAAGTCTCATCTAGACCCGAATAACCACAAAATACTCCTATCCCAAGCGGCCCTCCGCCAAAGAACGAGCCAAATCAAAGTCGAAAACAGCTGCTTCAGCACCCACAGAAACTCCAGAACCTACCGCCGTACCTGCAACACTTACCTTGAAAACGTTCAACCCCGCTACAGGAATATGCCTAAAATACCAAACGAACAAAGCCGCGGAAGTGGGCAGGCTGATTGCTGGGCTGGGCAAGCTGGCCAGTGGTTCACCTATTGAAGATTTTGTACCGGCTCCAGTACCGGTGAAGGCTGCGGCAGGCGAGGCAGAGGATGTTGATATGGTTGATGCTACGCCGTCATCGGCGGTTGATGAAATTAACAGGAGCAATACTCCAGTTGCTGGTGGTGGAGGAGGGGGCAAGCCGGCAAAGGGGAAGAAAAAGGGCAAGGGAAAGAAATAGAGGGAATATGTATGGACTAGTGGATTTGCGGTCTTTTTATGATAGATGGATTATTTATGCCGTAGTTAAAGTGACCAAAAAGAAGGCCAAATAGAAAAGGACCCCAAAAAAAAAAAAAAAAAAAAAAAAAAAAAAAAAAAAAAAAAAAAAACATACGACTGTATAAGTATGACGATGGTCACCTACCCTCCCCGAAACCCGCCGTCGCTTTTTCACCCCCCTTTAACTCGTTCTCCCCTGAATGTACGCTGCAGCTGCATTCTCGTAAATATATGCACCTCCTATCACCAATAGTTACAGTTGGTGCTGATTGGCCCTTACCTAGCAAGATAATGTGACCTTTTCCCGTCGCCCTCCTTCTCTCTTTCTCCATCACTCCCCCCTTTCCCTTGATGTTGCATGACTAAGATAACCAATAGGTATATTGTCGCGTTTACAACCAGCTTCTCTGGAATCCAGTATACCTCCTCAAAGGATGCCGTTAAAATTATTCATACGAATAACTTACCGTGACTTTCCTATCATCTATTACCCTTCTCCCCCTTATCCATTGATTTTGTGTGTATTACTTTTATCCTTACTGAAATGGCGCCTTTATAATATATTAATACGGCTACACCTCCAACGAGCTCGATGGGGATATAGTGTTTTGAATCTACTAGCTTCCAGACCAAGGTTGTGATTGATTTTTGCGTCGCTCGCTATAAATTCTGCCGTTCTTGCACATGCCTGGTAACTAGGTACCTACCATAGGGAAGTTTGGCGAATTTGCAGAACGTGGAAATTTTGTTCCGGAACTATATTTTAAAGCGCGCGAAGTTTAAAAGGGGACAATAGAAATACCGTAGGTATTCCACACCGTTCTAACGAAATGTAGACGTTCCGCGATGGGTGAAGGCCGGACAGTCACTCCGGATCAACAAACAGCAGAAGACCCCACAAGTGAAAGACTTGCATCACCTAGCCCACGGGTAGTGAATTACAACCTACAATAGGGTAGTGAATGGGGAGCGTGCAGTTGATGCTGCAAATAGCGCCAGTATGTCAAAGAAAGTTCGGATAAAATAAAGGTACCTACCTGGGGGTAACACAGATTTGCCAGCTGTAACGTATACAATCATTAACGAAGCCTAGGAAGTAGGTCTTATTCGCTTCGGGGTATATCTTATAAGGTCATTAGATAGGGCCCCAAAAGTCCATAATTATCCTATAGGCTGTCTTCTCTGCTCGTTACACTATTTTGCGGTTCTAGATATTTGAGTCTTCTTTGCCAGTACACAAACTTCACAGCCGTCGGAAAAGTCGTCCTTTGTATTCAAAATAAGTGTTCGAGGCTCTTCCAGCTTGGATATCTAGCTCCCTATACTATCTGGTGGCCTCGTTCTATTCCGACACACGTAGGCTCACTTCCTGCAGTTGGTAAACCTATTTATGTTTACCCGGTAACCGACTTCGGGAGATCTTCCAACCTTTAGAGCACGCGGGGCGGCGTATCATATAACTATCCGAGACTTGGCCAACCAAATGCCCGGCAGGCGGGTTGACGACACCTTACTGTGACCAGAACGCTCCTCCACTATTAGGTGGCAATGGCTGCACAATCAAGGCAGACGATCCTCTCGATACGTGTTCACAACAGCCAGCTGCATATCCAAATATATACATAGCCTGGCAGGTTAATGGTTTATATAAGTCTCTAATTATTATTTTTACACCTAGACACCTAACTGATAATATAGCTGAGCTTGACTGGGTCAAAACATGGATGGATAAGCTTATGGAACAAGATACTGGATCATACGTAGGTCCCTATAACTAACTTGACTACAAGAAAAGCAATATAGACTTGAATATTCAATTATTCAGAAGAAAGGGAAAAGTAACTTATATTTTTCCTGCACAAAGTGTCGAGGGACAAGCTCTACATAAGGTTTTGGTACCTAAAATTATACTAAAAACGCTAATTATCGCTGGAGCGCTAGTATCAACAACGGAAATGGTGACGGGTTATACGACATTCGTTTTGGAGTATAAAAGGGGTAGGATGGTTGATTATTAGGTTAAACCATAGAGTCATTTATCACCACTATAAATTCACAAATATGGAGGGCGATTATCTACTATATATAATATGATAGAGTGGCATCTTTATATTCCGCTCTCCCCTATTATTAGTATAAATACTTATAGATGTAAGAGCATTTAGAGTGTGGGTTTAAGATATGTGGAAGGATTCAAGGTATTCGAGCTACATAAAATAGGCGGGGAAGGCTGCTATATACTTGTATAAGAGTTTAAGTGGGCAATAAGTGGGGCGATTTTTCTTCTTATAGCTTTAGCAAGAATGCATTCTTGATTGATGGCTCCGGTCTGATATTCGTCTCTTACTTCTATAAGGTAGCTAACTAGCCTTTGGAAATTGAATATTTGATGAAAGTCAAGGCCGTTTATCTCTCGCTGGACTCGGCTTTCCTCCCACTTAGCTTCACCCAAGGTATGATCTTTAATTCTACTTGCTTCCTCAGCCAAGGTTTGGAAATCCTTCGGGGCAAAGTCAGGATGCACATAATCCGGAAACGTTCTAAAGAACCATATTTTTTCTAGATCGGCCAGGCTTCGGGGAGCGTTGTACGCCATAATGAGTTTCTACTTAAGTTCTTCTGCTGATAGGAAATTCCGAGGTGTAAGTGAGTCGAAAATAATATAGTAGTTATCAATTTGGATAACATTTTGCAAGCGGCCCTCTCCTCCTGGATGTTTGGCAAGATAGTCGGGGTGATTAAAAAAGCTCCTTATCTGAATGCTTGTTCTTGGTTCTGAGACACTTGTCTCTGCTCGAAGGGGATTGTCATATAAAAAGTAGAGTAGGCTACTAGCAGTTCCTTTATCTGGCTGATCCCAGTCTTGTTTAGCGAACTGTCCCATTTTGAAATCAAACAGTTCGTTGAAAAGCTTGTCCCCTATAAGATAACGTATTGCCATCCATAGTAGAAGTTGACAGTACACCCCGCAGTCTATTGTACTAGGGCCCCAGACCAAGTGGTTAAGACCTTGGCCCAAGGGCGCTTCACCCTCGTAGCTTAGCATATGACAAGCCCCCGTTCTCAACTTATAAGACCAGCCTGGGGGTGATTGATGCCTGATATCTTGACCCCAGATAGTGATTGGTAGTTGGCGATATTTGGTATTCCACTGTTCCATAAACCGATTGGGGTAGTTTAGTCCCCCCAATTCCTCAGGGTAATATTCCGTTTTTTTAGATCCAGTCACTTCTGTAAATCGCCTTGCACCTTCGATGAAATAGTCGATGTCCTAGTTTGGAGAACCTTCCTCTAGCCTCTTAAAATAGGCTTGAGTATGGGTAGAAGCAGGTTTGTTATGTAGTTTTGATAGAATATCGATTCTTTCTTGCTTATATTGTTCCGAGGGTCTCTCTAATATAGGAGTTAGGCTTCCCTCTATATTTCAACCGCTTCCGATATCATTTTAGGTGCTATTTGACGGGTAATTGTTAATAAATAACGGACGGGAAGTATGTGTATTAACTATGTGCTTGGGTAATGAGGCGAGAAGCCAAGTGGGCAAATCAATTATGTGACTTAAGTAAAGTTATAGATGGAGGGCCCGCGGAAAGAATTACTATGCGGGGAAATAGGTGAATCCAAAACACCATCAAGTCAGGAATTTACGCGTATGAAGATTGTAAATCTCAGTTCTACCAGTTCTGCTTCCGCGAAGTTTGAATCTATAGATATTAGTGCCTCGGATATACGATATACCGTCCCAACACCTTCTAACCTTCTTCTACCTACCTAGAAAGTTGGTAACGTATCTAACTTAATTGCCAAAAATTTAACCAAAATCGCCAAACACGCAGAGGAACGACAACCTCGATATTCTCCCTAACTCACTAGTCCACAAGACGCCTGAGGAATAGTATGCTACAAATGCATGAAGCTGAAGTGGGGACCCGCGGTCATCAACCAGGAGCCCAGAGGACCTATCGACAGCCTTTTATTAAATCCGCAACGCCAGCTCTTTTCTTAGGGCTGGACAGGAGACGCAGAAAGCCCAGAGCCAGGGACTACAGGATGAAATCCACACCTTAGGGCATAAATGGAAGCATTATCATGGAACCCACTAGCAAGGACCCGGGTAGCAGTTGCGGCCGAGCTCCAAATACACCCAGCAAGCTAGAAACCCCCGACCTTGGAAGGAGCCCAACTACGCTTAAATCAGCACTCTTATAACAACCAAGAAGGAATTTATAATCAGAGTCAAGGACCACCTATCCGCGGCGCGATCTAGTCCCAATGAGCTGGGCAACGATACCAAACTCATCCCTCCCAGGTTCGGGGTAGTAGTGCATAGAATGTGGACTAAAATGCTCTTACTCCAACCGGGAATACCTCCACCAATATGACGGTGACCATTTCTCAATAAAATTTGGCAAGTGTCACTTATATAATGACAAATGGGTCCGACCATCGGGCGACCTACAGAACGCTCGCTCTAGCCAGACTGCGCAGCCGACCCCAATCAACACAAACCAATAGCGAAACCATTGGTGTAATCTAAAAGACAGTTCGCACCCGAGCTGAAGGCATAACAAAGGGAGGGAGCCAAGCCCAACGCAAATGTAAGGGAGCTACGCAACTACAGTTCCTCGAGATCCACAGACGTAACCTTGTTCGCAATGATACGCATAACAAGAGTTCTTAGACCGCTCTAGCGAAGGACACCTGTGGAAAAGTAGCATCATACATGGGCCGGAGAATTATACGGCAACATCCCATCCCCAAGGTTAGGAGATGAGGAAGTCTCAAACAAAGAGAATAATACGGAGCTCTTAATAACTGCTATTGTCTACTCCCGAAGCAGCCGGCCAGTGATACGCTCGGGCGTAGTCGAAATATTAAGCGCCGAGATCGTCCCGTAAAGAGTATTGGTCGCACCAAATACCCGCGTGTCTAACGAGATGTCGCCAGTCAAATAATCTTTTATTTTTATATTCTATGCTACATTTTTTTCTTAACCCCAACCTCTCACTCATACAGATGTAGGTCGACTGGATGCCTTCCCAGATTACCATGGACTAACAGTATATAACTATACAGCCAAGACATACCAGGCGTGCGACATACTATATTGTACCACTCTATCCAACGTTGAGAAGAGTCTTTTATATGTGATGTCTGCATCAATAGCCAAGCCAGGTGGTAGCCGTATTTAAATTCATCCTTGCGCGGTTCTGACCCGTCATATATCGCAACAAATCTACTCATAGGTCAGTTATGCAAGGCAGGCCAAAAGATATAGAGAGTTAACTAACATATGAATATCAAGACTCTGTATTTCAGATAGCATAATGCTGTCACCGTTCGATTGACATATCAAAATCGTGGATAGAAGAAGTACGAAGAGGGGGTGTGGTATATCGTCCTCACCCAGTGGTGAGATCTTGTCAACCTCCCATACGCCGTGATACATTGGTTCCCCATCATAATAGATATACCAATCAGCCTTGCCGGGGATATCCGGTGGACCACTAGGCGAGATTAAGGAGTAATAGCAGACACCTTCCAAGGGGAAATCGACGAGGTTTTGAGCAAGCCGCCATTTCAACTTCCACTATAATAACGATTAATGTTCCTATCCCACTAAATTTGGAATTTACATACCATGCATTCATTCACCCTCAGCACACAATCCGCCCCGCCCTGGGAGTCCTCAGCACAGTTAGGGGAGGTAGGAGTACGCCAGCTGCCTATGCAAGTTTCAACGTCAGGGCTAAATAAGAAGTTGACCATATCTTCGAAGCTTTTGGCTGTCCGGTCAAAATACATGGCTATAGTGGAGTGGTCGTCCAAAAGGCCCGGGTCGGCGGCCAACCATTCCATTATCTCTCTCTCCGGTACCGGTGTCGGTCGCCTAGAGAACCCATAAGGAACCGCTTTTTTTGATAGGATAAGGTAGGCACTCCCTGATTGAGTGTTTGAGAGTGTGGGAAAGCAGACTGCGACGATTGCTGTCGCTACATCAGAGGAAGAGAGCCCCATGTCTGATGTTTGCTAATTATCGTCCAGTTCTAGTAGAGAGGATGGATTTCCGTCACTCTTATAGATTTTTTATTAGAGTTTGTCCCAATATATTTAGTCCTGCCGGCCTCCTGGGATTACGGTCTCATTTCCTAATACAACAAGTTTATTAAAAGTCACCACCGAACGGGAGCTCGTTCCACAATCCCAACATTACATGGCGCCTAGTTGCCCATTTTTGAAATGCACCCTACTTGGGAAATTATACCCATCCTATGGCCGCCTGCTTAAAAGCTATCTGTCAAAGTGACCAACTTTATCTCTACGCGCGATTACTGTGGGCTCACTCCATTCATAAATTTTTCTCAACTCTATTAAGCCTTTTTGCTAACTTGTGAGCCAATGTATTAAGCGGATTAATTAACTAGCTATGGAAGCGGATTTATGTAAAAGGGAAGATCAAACAAACTAGAAGGGAATCAAACGAAACATCTGTCTGCCTCCATACCTGGATACCTCCATATCTGGATTACTTCTTTGCAGGCCTCTCGTCACCCGCCGGGCATGGGCTCAGCCTTTTCGTCCCGCAAGCCGGTCTGCCGTTACCCAGATCCTTATTTAACCACTCTCTTTCCTTAGGAGGCTCCAAAAGTAGGATGAGCTTATCAACATGGTCGCCGATCACCTCTGTATCAACATATTTATATAGAAGTGATCGTTGAATTGTCAGAAAAGTATCAGGCTTCATCATTAACCGAAGATGTCCTGTCACCTTTGGTAAAGCCGCGAACCACCCAATCCCAGCACGGATTATCAGGAGATTTTGTATGGCGGAAAAACGTTCGTCTTTTAGACCGGCTGGCTGTATCGGTGTATTTGCTGATATACTCTGGATATTGGCAGCCAGGTATTTGTACTGTTTTTCCACTATACCCTCCGGAAGGCCGTTATCTTTGAAATAGGGAATGTTTTGTAGGTGGTTGTGCATAGCCAGGTAATAGTCGGTTGAGTTCTCGATACACTTAAACTCTGTTGCCCAATCTTCCTTCTCCTACGAGAGTATGTCTTCCAGCTGTTGCTGCCGGTCCTCGAAGACTGGGTTTTCCACGCATGAGAAAAGGAGTACAGCACATAGAAAGTAGAGCTGGTGAATATGAGGTCTTGGTATCTATAGCCTAGTAAGTATTTTAAGGAAAGAGAAAATTTGTGGGGAACTCCTTACCTTAGGTAGCTCGAGATCTTGAAGAGGCTGCTCAAGACGTTGGATTTCTCCCCCTATGAATGTTCTCAGTGAACGAATATAATCCACCACCTGGGTAAGGTGCTGGTGCGCAACTAACAACGCATGAACACCCTCTGTCCTGGTCTTTTTGGCCGTTGTGAAAAGATAAAGAATGGAGCCAACCGGCCCTTCACAAGTAGCTGCCTTCTCCTGGATGAAGTTCACGCCCTGTCGTAGGATTCGATATTCCTCGTCTAACTGTGTTTCGCCCTCCTTCCGCATCTTCACTAAGGAGACAGAGAGATTCTGGACTTCCTTAACAGCCGCTTCCAATGTCTTATTGGAGAGACAAGTAAATGTTTTGTTTATCTTGCCCTCTAGGTTGAGAAGGCTCTGTTGCCTTGATATATAAAATTTCCGTGAGGCTTTCAGTTGTGAGTAACGCCAGTATTCGATTTTGGAAACTAGATTGTTTTGCTCCGCGATCCTCTGTATGCTAACCATGCGTCTATATTTTGGAGTTGGCTGCGTCGGCTGCTGCTATTGCAAAGTCTCTTGATTGATTTGTTGCTTATCGAGAGAAGTGTCATTGTGAATGAGAACAGCATAGGGGATACGCGTCGGAGTATAGGACGCTATAAACCAGCCATGGGGACCACGGAGGGTGTGGGCACCTTGGATTTGGCGGAGAAAGGTATTTACCTCAAAGATCTTGCGGAGGGCTGATTCCCTATCAGGGATATAGTATACTTGAAAGGAAGTCATTACCGCGATGATGATAAGTAGACTGCGGTTCTGAGTTAGTGAAATGAGTATTCATTATCTTTGAGCGGAGTTCAGGCTTTTTATAGGTATAGAGGCATATTTTATGTAGTAGAAATTGGCATAGACAGAAAGCACCATATTGAGAAGTAAAGTTTCAGCCCCGAGTCGTTCGCCTAGTAAATTACCCATCTACTCATGCGATAAGGCTCTAAACACATCACTGCCTAGGTACCTACCTAGGTAAGTTCCCTTGTTACATATAACTAGTTACCACACTCTCCTGCATTAGTAGCAAAAAGCCTTTCCTTCAAGGAAGAGCTCTGCAGTCTCACAACCTTAACTACATAGTTCTTGTAGTTCGCTCTCAGCCCCAGCTGTCTTTAACTCTATCCTATATCTTGTTATTCCTTGGAGGCTCATTACTATTACGATGCAAGGCCAATTACCATGGTTCAAGGCTGTACAACTTATACCGAGCTGACTACCCCTAAGTTGTTAAGAGGAGACACAAACAGAGAGGAAGTTGGTAACAAAGTTAAAATACTATGTACCACTATAATTACTTTCATTAATTGTCCTTGATAATCTGCTTGCCTTTTAATCAATGCCCCATATAGCCATACCGCTCTAGTTATAATTCTATCCTTAGATGGTATGCTTTGGCACTCCAATAGTACTTATGAAGACGGTCATGCAAAGGTTCCTTACATAGACCGAGTTGACAAAGTAGTTGTAGCTCGCTCTCGTAACCCACCTGTACTTTGACCTTTCTGCGGTGGCTTATTGATAATCTAATCCACAGAGATACGCCGATATTTGTCTCCCGGAAACGAGCTGGTTGCTTATCCAATACGAGGCAGAAACTATGCTCTTGTTAGTGATCAATATTGGGGGTTGGGTCCTCTCTACACATACCAGAGAAACGCCGGTTCATTATCTCTTTGCTGATTGGACACCACTTCAATATCCCTTTGTTAATTAAATAGTTAACAAATAATATCTTACCAGCTTCAACATTCGGCACCCACTTACCGCCGTAACGGGACAAGAGTAACCACTCCCACACCTACTACTTTGAGTAACTTTTGGTCCTCTGCCCGAAGATCCTTGAAGGAACCGATACCCGAGTTTAATTTGGCCCCATCCCCCCTGAAAACACCCCACATTATCCAACGCGGGTGCTAGCGCCATACCCGCGAACGTGCTCTTGCTCGTCTTCTTGGTCGTGAGCGTGTCCATTCTCATCACTCCTGGGGGAGGGGTGAGGCCTCCGAGCTCGCGAAGCTGTCCAGGCTCTTGGCCAGCTCCTCGCACCTCCTGTCGTTGATGATCTTGTTGTCGGGCGCGTTCATCTATGGTGAGTAACTCGTTCTTATATTTGTATAGGATAATAATCTATCCAGGCAAATATTAGCCACGTATAGACAATGGTGGTGAAAGCACTCACGGTTGGCTTAGAAGGCAGATATTTGGATATTTTCCCCTGAAGTGGGATTGGGTTGATCACCTGATAGGCTCGAGGATCGGTTGTTGGTGTATCAGAGTGAAATTCTGGGAACATATGCCCGTGGCCGGCATTCGAGCAATCGTCATATTCGACCATCATTTGCTCCATTCTGCTCCACATTGGACAGTGGTGAGGAAAAGTGAGCTTTTCAATGAGTGCCCGCAGATACTATATAAATAAGTAGACAGAGGTCACCAGCCCCTGAGGCATAGATTCTGTAGTGCACTCCTGAAAAATTGACCCCCTGCTCTACCAACATCGAGCGACCTACCATAAAAATGAGGAGCTGGAACGGTTCAATACTATTTCATGAGAAAATTTATTTATAACCATGCCTAGAGGTGATCTTGCTTCAACCCTGCCTATAAGGAAGAAGCCATTCTTTAGAGAACACATGGGAAGTTATTTCCAAAAGTGTCTTTTTGTGACTATGATAGTAAGCTGGGGAAATCCCTTTACATGCCAAAATAAACCAAGTCAATTAGGCCCCCACACCACGATGCTAGGAGAACACTTGCTATGATGGTGGCTCACTAAGAGAGAGCAAGACCACGAAATCTCCATCACTGCTAGGTGTTATGGATCGACTGCACCTGAGTTGGTGTCCGGCCAGATCGTATACATTTACCTACTTGAATATTAGCAACTTTAATTTTCCATAATAATGACGGCTAACTTATACCGCACTGAAGATTGACTTGGCTATCAAATTTTAGTAAACCCTTCTGCTTCATTACTATTGCTAAGGGAAAGCCTTACCTTGCTATAACGTGCGGCGGACAGCGGATGCGCGGAGCGCTGATAGTTGATACACCACGCCTTGACAAGGTAGTGCGGGTCGCATCCACATTTGTATGATCTTTTGATAAAGTCGCACATCTTGTAACTTGCCCTGAGACTTAATGGTATAGAAGAAACCTCATCAAGGGACTTGTAGTGGGGATATATAGATTTCATTTGACACTATTTTAGCACCTTAGCTGCTTATCTGCCCATCGAATTTGCACTTCCTATCGTGCCGTCCGCCGCCGACCCTTCTTACCTGCAGCACCCTCTATGTGATCGTGTAACTACCATTTTTCCTAGCTCTAGACCCGGGTGGTTGATTCAAGTATAAAACCACTATAAAACCTCCATGGTCGTTCGTTGTAGTTTGTCTGCTTTAGCATCCTCCTTTTTGTGAACTACTTCGGAATTTTTGTCGCCCATTGTCCCTGCACTCCCCATGACTCGTGGTGCATACGATACAACAGGTATACCTAAGCCTCAGTCCCCGCCTGTGACTACCACCGAGACACCATGATGGATGGCGCTGAAGCATTCAACTTGAGCCTCCCGGTATCGAGATCCCTCCCACACCTTAGCCAAGAGAGGGCAGTGCTGGGTGTTATCGCCCGCTGCCCTCACAGCTATCCCCGACAATCCATCCAAGGGAAAGCCGTCACATTCAACACCTCCTGTATCCAGACGGTACATGCCAGTCTGCCAAACTCTAATTCGAATGCGGATTCCAGCTCTCTATCCTCTGCGCTCTCCTCGTGGAACACCATAATATGTGATGGAGACGATGAGTGCGCCAAAACTCCTGACAATTTTGACAAAAGCCCTTTGCTCACGGACCCCAAACGACTCCGGGCAGTCTTTCTGGTGAAAGAGCTTCTTGAGATGCGGAATGAAATAGTGTGGGAGCGCCAGCAAGGTAGTGTATATTATGCACTTGACAGATCTCCAGCAAGGTGTACAGTCATGCCTATGCGTCCATTGGCTGGGAGGGGGCCGAACTTTATCGATCTTAACTGGGAGGAAGTTGATGTGTACCAGTCGTGGTAGGGTGCCGTTGTGGTAGAGAGCGACATGACCCCAGCTATTCATGTAAAACGAATTCCTGTATGGTAGAGACAGAGGGAGGGGAGGGAGGGAGTAATGAAGAGAGACGTGTGAAGGTCGTGTTGAGCGTTGGTTAGTAGAATAATAAATCGAACTGTGGCTGGGAAATATTTGCCAAGCCTCAGCCACTTTCTTAGTTACTCCACCAACCATCTTTGTACGGAGTACTCGAAAGGAGGCCTGGATGGACCATGATTCGGGAGAGTAATTTCCTTGATAGTCTTAAGCTTATGTGATATAGCCAGTGTAGCTGCTCCATATAGATCTGTTGCTACCAACGGTAACAAGGGAACTTGAATAGACTGTATGTAACCATAACGCCTATTTGTGTCCTTTCCGCCAACATCAGTATCTATTTCTGGTTCGTTATGGAGCCTTGGTGTGGGGCTAATTGTTTCTGGCAAGTCGTCTATGTACGGGGCGGGCCGGGCGGATTTTAATTCTTGATTAAAGTATGCATCTTCAATCGATTGGAAAGTTCGCTCAGGGGAAGGATATGCGGGTGGAGGGCGGGACACATGAGGACCATTTGAAGGCTGGTGCGGCTGGGGATGGGTCATGGGAGCTGGCGAGTGGTAAGACTGGCCGCCAAGTTCGTGCCTCGCATCCCTGCTCGGCCCCGCTCCACCCGTCTGCTTCTCCCTCCCCGACCACCTTGTGTCACCGCCCAGCTCTTTTACCTCTTTAATGGGGAAGAATAGATTTAGGCAGAATGTGACCATAATGTGGAAAAAGCTGAAAGAATTGCAAACTATCAGGCTGGGCATGGGTGTAAAATAAGGCAGAAAAGGCGTTTAAGACACAGAGCGGTGAGCTGTTTTATATATACATTGGATAGATCATCATGGTCTGCCTTTAAAAAATAATGGCCTGAATTCACATTCAGGCTGATCCTTTCATGAAAAAAGAAAAGTTATCGTCACAAAAGGCCTTTTGTGACGATAACTTTTCTTTTTTTTTTGGTGCTTGTGCTTACAAGGAGTTTACCAACGTGGCATTGCTAACCTTAGGACCAAACTCAAAGAACCATCTCTCACTGTCTAATTGATTTTCCCTTTCCTATTGTTTCCTGCTACCAGATTCTTTGGGTACAGAGGTCACCATTTGCTACTTTTTCACTTGATCATGGACTCCAATGTTACTGAAAGGCTCCAAATGCTAGAAAACCTTCTGATTACTCTGGCGCGCTTCCTACAGGAGAACGAGAAGGTGCTATCACTTAAAGAATACAAGGGTTGTTATGAAAAGCTGCCAAACGGAGAAAGGGAGTATATTGAAAGGCTCCCACAAACTTTAGAGCATTTATTTGGAAATAAGGGGGGAAAGGGCAGAAAGGAGCAGATAGGAGGAGGGAGACACGAGACAGTGACGAAGTGGTCAAAGTGACGAA